ACGCTGTGCGCAGAGGTTCAGGAGCAGAAGTCCCATTGTAAACATGTAAACAGTAACTCAAGAATGAAGTAACGTAGGAACTTCAAATCGATACCATAGTTGTATCTACAAATAAACTTGGACAACTTCCGATCTCAGTAACCTCGACCTCAAGGTCAGAGCAAGTTTTCTGGAAATCTTGTGAATGTGATAACTTGAAAACAAGATGACGTGGAATTTTGAAATTGATAGCTTAGATGTGTCTACTAGGAGGCTGAGGGGTGGTACTGGCAGCTGCAAGTATTTTTAACTTCCATCTGGAGCTATATTGCCTCTTAGATTTTGCACTGTGTTTAAAGTCATTTAGATGGTTTCCTCTCCATCTGAACACTTCCTGTGGAAACAATGTGTGAACAGTACAAAGCGTATTCATCTAGGAAGCTGGGGATGATTGAGGAAATGTTCAGCGTTGGGCCCAGCTCTCAGCAGCAAGTATTCATCTCCGACATCGGACTGATGACAAAGTCAGACACTTATTTCAATGACATTTTCTAGCTGCTCCTGTTCTGCCCTCTCACAAAACAAATCTGTAATTTTTTCCGGTTATTGAAAAAATGGTGAGGACAGTGTTTGTAACTGTAACTTTTTCTGCGTTTTGATGGCTCCCTGCTAATAAGCTCCAGGGTTTCACACTGCAGTAAACTTAGTCTGAAGTAAGCTTATTTTTAAGTTTCTTCCTGCATCTCATGACTTCTCTATAATGGGTGGTGGGAGGCGCCATAACTGCATGTCATAAACAGATGAAAGTGGATCTCATAGATCTTTTTCAGTGTCTGATTCAGAATCTGTGTCAGTGAGGTGCCTTCTAGTAAGAACAGCTGCATTAGGTTCAAGGCTTCTTAGCTTCCTATGTATTAAAGCAACATATGTTTACGTACTTATTCGCTCCATGTCAAGAAAAAAGGTTTGAGTTTTGGCTACACATTTTAATTCATTTTAAATATGACTGAACTGAACTTGGTAGATGTCCATGCCTTTCACATTAGGCCTGCTAGTTCTCTTAAGAATGTCTGAGCTGGCTGGCTGTCATCTTTGGCTTCCTGAAATTGATCTGACTCAGTGCTGCTGGACATGTCTTATCTCATGAAGGTCATCGATGTGCTTCCTGTGTCTGTTCTTCCCGTCCTCTATGAGGCATTGTGGCTGCATGGCTGCAGCATGAACATACCCTGCAATGATTAGCCTACATAAAAGACTGTATTTAACAATATAAACTTCTGATCTAGGTCTTGATGCAAGCACTGACATCCAGGTAAGAAGATTTGTGGGTTTCCACTAAAACTTTTCAGATGAACAGAATCAACATTTTGGTATATTGATCCAGGTAATATTCATATATGCAATTCATAGAGGACATACTGTACTAACACTGCAGTTCCAGGATGAATTATTCAGGCCTCTGATGTAACCTGTAAGTGATGTAATCAGTACTTAGATTATGTAGAAGGTTTTACATTACATTTTAACATTCTACATGTTTTTACACACATTCAGGTAGAAGGAAGTAGAAGCAGCAGATTTATGAGCACTAATCCAGCCATGCAAGTGCAGTTCCCCATCAGTATGTAGTATTTCACTTGTTTACAATCCACATCTGTATAGCTGTGTTTTATGTCGTTGACTTGACTTGGCAACACGTCTGTCCAGAGTACAGAAAAATGATCTGACAAATCTCCACATGAAGTGACCTTGACATGACTGCATGGTACAAACTTGTTAAGGTCGAAAGATTTATATGGTCTAAGTTTTTCCCTTCATATAGACGCTGAGTTTTTCCACAGGGTATACAAAAGAGACGATTCATACCCCAATGTGGAATGTTAGCTCCAATGAATGACCGTTCTACCAACAGCAGTCACTTTATGCCACCACTTGGACTCCACCCACAAAGTAGGTCATGAAGGTTTAAAAACAGTGGACTATTCTTTGTGAGGTAGATAAAGTGCTTATTTGGTGTATAATAAAGCACTGTAGGGTTAAATGTGCTCCAAAGCTCTTTGACTGTGCAGGAAGATTAGGAAAGTGCTTTACAACTGCTGTTACAACCTGAATCAGACACCTTGTTGTTGTTAGCTTGGAGCTTTTTGCTGCTCAGGCACTGATGAATCTGGAAACCACTAATAGTTAGAGGTAGTTAACATTACAGATGTAGTATAGCAGCTGTCCCCAACCCCCGGGCCTCGGACCGGTACCAGTCCGTGAGTCGTTTGGTACCAGGCCGCGAGAGTTGAGGCTCAGGTGTGAAATGTATGGTTTTCAGGGTTTTTATCGGTTTTCAGCGTTATTTTGTTATCGTTTTGATCGTTAACTCGGTTTTCCTGGGTCTTTTCACGTGTGTTATGTATAAATCTTCTTTTTTTCGGTACCGGTACTAGTTTTATTTTGTTGTATTTATCCGCGACACATTAAAGGCCGGTCCATGAAAATAATGTCGGGCATAAACCGGTCCGTGGCGCAAAAAAGGTTGGAGACCACTGTAGTATCCGGTTGTTCAGTCTGACGTCACTAGCCGTGTCTGGGTCTAAACTCTGCTGCAGGTCCATATATCAAACGATCACTATGGCATTACTGAGAGTTGAAAAACTGTCTAAAGTCTTAATGATCAGCGTTCTGTTCTACCAGGTGTAACAATTGAGTTTAACATCCAGGCATCCATGAAAACGGAATTTATGACATTTAACGGAGTTAGAAGTTAGCAGGGAGTTAGCGCGCTAGCTTCTATCTAAATACAATATAGCATGTCCTGACTGCGGGGTTTTGGAAACAAATTAAAACGTACAGCTCTGTTATCACTTCCAGCATAAATGAAGACAGAAAACTAAACAGCAGTGACGTTTGTAGGGTTACTGAAGTTGGGCTAGCACAGCTATGTTAGCATAATATAAACAAGCTAACTTTTTTTCCACTCGATAAAAGTTAACGTGAGTGTTCTCGGTGGTCAGGAACAAATGTAATCGCATGGCAGGATGCTGTAAAAGGACCAAACTTCAGCCAGGAGAACAACTGAGATAATCCATCCACAATACGAGGTTAGTCATTCATATACTGCTGCATGGGCTGGGCTGTAGTTACATCCTAAGGTTTTAAAAACTGAGCTTAAATAAATGATTAGCGGTAATAAAAGCTGAGGGAGGTTAACAGTGATCACTGACTGTTTTAGGAGCTTTTTGAGATTAAATAGAAGAAAATACAAAACATTAAACATGTTAACAACACAAAAGCCATATTAAACGCAGACTACTAAGTAGGATTTGTCGCGTCATCACTGAACAACCAGATAGTATGGTTTTGATTTAAAGGTATTCAGAAAATACTGATTAACCAGCAAGACCTTGTGAATTCTACAGTCCTCTGGTTTGAATATTTGATGATTTAATTTTATCCTCTGTAAGGTTCATAATTTCATAAAAAGCATATGAATACGGTCTGTTCATAGGAATCTGCACTGTTCTTTGAATGATACTTACTGTTGTAATGCATGAAGTATGTCTTAACTACATTTTGGTTTCTGGGTAAGTGTTTATAACTTTTGTATTGTAATATAAAAGTTACCCAATTCTCTAGTAAGACAAGCTGTTGATTGCTGTTTGTCTCAGACGCTTAGAAAGGTGTGACCTGCAAAACCCCAGCTGGTCGAAACATAATTTGACTGATGTACACAAAGTTTTAAGCAATTATTAGAAAAGCTGAGTTACAGTATGTGAACACAAACACCACTTCCTGCTGTTCCCTGTGAGAATTGACCTTTAACCCCTATATCTTGCTCCCAGTATTGAGTCGGACACATGGCATCCCTTGAGAGCTCGACAGCCTGTGCTCTACAAGGTCTCTGCTTTCCTTTGCTTGATTCTGTGTATATTTTTTTACTCTTAAAGTCTAAAAATACACTTGAGTGCGGATGTTGCTGCTGTGTTACATAAACTTGTGGGATTGAAGTGTCAGGAATGAGAGGTTGGACAGAAAGTTTTTGGATCCTAGTTCTCACAAAGTAAACAATTATGGAAGAGAGGACAGTTTCCTGGAACAGCTTCACACAGGAAAATCTACACAGAATTACACTGAAGTGTCATGTTTTGATAACTTTTTTATATACTTGAGGAAAAGTGTCCCAAGATTGTAGAGCTCCACTTTAAAAGCTCGCACTGACAGTAATCAAGTCAATTATTATTACTAATAGGAGTAACTTACTGTGTATTTCAGACCGTGGTTGGCTACACAGTAAAAGAGAATGTCTGCCTTCATGTAATGTGGATCATATCAGAACTGTTTTTAATATTATTATAAAACTGTACTTGACCTCTGTATATATTGAACAAATACCACTGAAATTGCAAGCAGACTTGACTGTACATTTTGAACAAAATAAAGCTTAGAAGGAAGGTGACTGGATTTCTTTTGGTTTTTTATTTTTTAGAAGCTTCTCAGATGAAAGGTAAGATGTTTTCAAGAAACTTAAGGAAGTCCATTCGTTTTCTTTTCAGGCTCCCCGGTCTACCTGGATCACTGAAAACCTCCACAGAACCAATGGAACACTTTGTTGCACAGTGTTTTCATGTAAGGTGGTCTGGGTTCAGATTCATGCTGCGTTCATTCTGTGTGGAGATTGCATGTTTCCCCGTGTCTATGTGGACTCTTTCTGTGTATTCTAGTTTCCTCCTACAGTCCAAAGACATGAATTAGGTTAGGGAGACTGGTGACCTGTCCAGGGTATGTTTTGCCTCTTGCCTCATGAAAGCTGGGATAAGCTTCAGCTCCTTATGACCCTGAGTTAATTGAGCAGACAAAACTTGATAGATATCCTTTAAACTATTCAACAACGGCTGCTGGTTGTTCTTTCATTACAGTATTAGAGAGAAAACAGTTGCAAACAATAAAATAAATCAATAAATAACACGTGCTAATAATCTTCAAAACTACTTATTAACACCGCAATACTAAGGAGCTATGCAGGAGACTGCGAGAGAAGGAGGCACACTGTGTATTGAGGTTGGTACAGTTTAGCAAATACAGAGAAAGTGAGGCAGGGCACCTTGTGTTCATCAGAGTTTTATCGTTGTCTAAGTTTAGATCTTGGCTTGCAGAATGCATCTCAAGTAACAAGGCTGCTCACTCACTTTAGTAGCACCACAATCCAGACAAAAACAGGGCTTTACACAGAGCTTTAAAGGAAGACAAACACAGAAAAGTGGCAAGTCATTGAAGAATAAGAGTAGAGGCGGGGCTATCAAAGCCCAGCAGAGTCATATAGTGAAAAATCTCAAACAGGAGGCAAACACAGAGAGACCTAAGGCAGAACCAGGACTATTCTCTGTAAGAAAACAACTCTTCACCACATAAGTTTACCGTTTTTTCTACCTGGACAATGACAGAGAATGTAGAAGATCAAGTCAACTTCTCTCAAACCTCTGGGTCTGAGCAACAGACACCGCATTTTCTACGAGATGTCATCTTCCACGGCAAGTTTAAGGTAAGCATTTCTGCAAGAGACACAGAGACTGAAAGAGAGAGAGTAGGAGGACAGATAAGGCAAGATAAATAAAGACACGGAATAACATCTATTTAATAATAGTTTGGACTTGGATTTGATGTAATACTTCATCCTCACTGACCTAACTGAACAACTGATGATTGGCCATAGTTTTTGATGATCTTGTGCAGCAATTACAGCTATTTTAATATATTTAAAACTCAACATACTGGTTAAAAAATAAAAATAGCCAGCAGTCCTTGTTGAACACAACCAAAACTTTTTCACTGATACGGTCTTTAAGAGTGCTATTGCCACTCTGCGGCACTGCTCATTACTTAAGGCAGATACTGCTGCTTTAAGTAATGAGAAGGATTAAAATGAAGTTCCTTCTGCAGGTCGTACACTGCACTGAACTGTAGCTGGTGTATACTGTGTTTTCTGTGCTGGTACTGGCATACAAAAGCTAAGTAAAAGAATAGCTTGATAAGTGCAAGTCCAGAAAGGAAATCTTGCTATTTTTACATTCTTTCCATGATATATGGTTTTATGTGTATTAAAAAGCAAACAAACAACATATGTGAACAAAACTGTTAAATGTTTACATCATCGAACCCTGCTGGTGATCCAATGGTGTCAGACACTGAATGGCAACACTCCTGATTTGAGTGCAGTTCTTCTTGTTGGATATCCTCCCCATCTCTTTCTGTGTGCATTTCTTGCAGTCCCTCTTGTCAACTTATAAATGCATAAATCATGTTCCCTAGGCTCTCGCTCTTACATGTGTGGTTTAAATCTGCGTATTTTCAGCGGCTGAAGGCTCTAACTCCAGAGGAAAATACCCGCTCCCAGCATGGGCTCTTCTTCCAGGATGGTCAACGGCGTGTTGACTACGTGCTCACCTATGCCGTGAAGAAGTCGAGTGGAAGCCACTCCACTCGCCAGTCAGTGCATCTCCTCACTGAGAATGTTGTTACCCGCAGCTTCCGCCATGGTCCTCAGAGTGGTGGCGAAAAGCTCCGAGCCAAGCAAACACAAAGGACGAAAGACTCATCCTCCGTACATTCATCGACGGTTATCGACATGGAGTTGGGCTGTTCAGGAGAAATCTTCAATAGCCAGGAGGATCAGAAGGCATTCAGACGAGAGGAGTTTGAAGGAAAACTGAGAGACATGGGGCTAGAGCTGGAAAAAGATGAAGATGTAAGTTCTAATAATTATTTATTACAATAACTAACTGGCCTCATTTGGTCACTTCTTTTCAGTGTGTGCTTCCAACCAAGCTCATTTCTTTCTGTCTTTCTTTCTTTTTTTGTACGTCTTATCTTAAATGAAGTCATGTCAAATTTTAACCTAATGCAATGACAGTTTCTTTCAGTATACAAGCCCTTAAACTACATTTGAATATGTTGAATTTTGATGCTTTTAATTCATCTTGTTATTCCAAGCATTTGTGAGCCCTTGTAACCTTTAAATTGGGTACAGGAGCTAGCCACACAATATCTTCAAGGCCGAAAAACACATTTAAGCTTTTTTTTAGCTTTTTTTTTTTTTAAAGAAAAAAGAAAAAAAACGTCATCCAAATGAGTTTTACACCCACTCCCAGTGTCACAATCTGAAATAAAATATTTTTTATATTTTATATAATGTTTTCTATAACCAAACTTAAAATATCAATATCATGGCATATCTCATAGTTTCAGTAACAAAGAAGCACAAATTTAATGCCTATGAGAGAAGGAAGTGAATATTCTTAGTACAAGCCAAATCATTTTTCTTTGCCTCAATAGGAAACCATCACCTGCTCCCCTAGAGTGAGGCATAACTTTAAATTGACTACTTCTTTGTTTTGATACTTTTAGCTCTAAGTTTGCTGCTTTGGTTTTAGAGCCATTGCAGTTTTAGAGCTCTAACATACTGGCTCATCACCAGTGCTGTGAAGCTGTACTGGCAGATACTTCCTCAGACTATAAAGAGGAGCTCCTTAAACTTATTATCACCCTTGCAGAAAATGATGACTGACTCATGACTCATTTAGTGATGGGAATGCTTCCACAATGAAACCACTCATAAACCTATATGCATTACACTCATAAGCACTTAGAAGGCTCCTGACAGGGGGGTTATTTTGATGCTCATTTTGAATTTCTAAAGGGTTGTCTTGACTTAAGTTGCTGCTATTTAATTGAGTGTGTTAATACGTGTGTTTACAAGCAGTCAAACAGGTGTATCTGTGTATGGCCCTTCACGTATTATCATTTGCGAGAATGACCCTCAGGGGCGCTAAGTGTGACATGCCTACCATGAGAGATATGTCTGTAGGGTTGTTGGCCAACAGCATTTTTCCACTCAGCTTATTGTTCACCATAAAGAACAGCAGATCTGCACATGCACTAGAGAGACAGAAATGATACTGCTCTGCAGGTCACAATCTCCACTTTCATGCATCTCACCCTTTCTCTCTTACACATCTTCACTAATCCACTGAAACACACTTGAACACACAAACTTCAAACTCAATAGAATGTCAATAGAAAGAATTTATGAACTTATTCATGTTGTAAGAAATGTCCATACAGATGTCATCATATATTTGAAGGTGTGTTTTTATGTTGGTGTCCTTGTTAAAGGACAGAACAACAGCAAAAGCAACCTCACCTCACAGAACACATGTGCTTGCAGCTATGCCATGAGTTCACTGGTGACTCCAGCAGTGATCAACTACTGTATAAACACAAATCCTGACCTCTTTCCAGATACTGCTCCCAGGTACATGGATGACACAGGGGTCAAAACAAAAACACCTGAACTGAATCTTCATAGACCTGTTAGAGAGATCTCTGGACCATAAGTCTTAACAATGAAGTCAACAATGAACTTTCACGAGGATCGAAATTTGCCATTTTCCACTAAGCACCTACTGGATCACAAACTGTGGTTCTTGAAGCACCATGCCAGAAAAGCCTGATCTGAGCATGAAAAAAGTAATTTCCATTGCAGTTTGATGTTCTAATTGCGAACTATGTGAATGCACTGCTACACTGTTTCACAGTTTTGGCAGATTTACAATTTGACTTGATCTTGAAATTTCTGTCTAGTGATGACAGTGTCTAATAATAGTAATTACTATTATTATTATTACTACTATATTTTTGCACAGTGGTTTTTATTTACCTTGTAACTTATATAAACCTTATATTTAACTGCAAACGTTAGAAGATAACCGTTTCTCAATGTCTGCAATATTTTAAGAGGCAGCCAGTTTCTGTAAAACTATTTGCAGGGTTGCAGTTTAGCTGTATCTATATATCAGTCACTTAAAAGTGGAAACTGATATTCTGTCTATGTATAAGATGTCCTAATGCCAGAATAAAAATAGAAAATAGTTGTCTCCACAGCTGACCTGAGGTTGTGAGCACCACACAGAGTCTAAATTCCTGGTTTTCTACACATGGCACTATCTAATTTCTGACATTTTGGTAACTACCAGTATTAGCTGATACTAGGTTAATTCTGGTTTAATGAAAAAAATCCCCAGTCTTTGTAAATTTCCAGTAAGTTGGACCTTTGAACTAACAGACAGGGAAGAGAGAGACTACAGGATCAATTTTCCTGAAACAGAATACACAGTAAAACACCAGTCTAGTCTCGGGACACAGGGGTGTTCAGGTGACATCAGTATTTCCTAATCAGTAATTCTAGTATTTTGCACACAGTTAGGCCCATATATATTTGGACACTGACGCAGGTTTTGATGTTTTTTACTGTTTTTTTTTTTTACTGACACATATTCCAGTTACAGTTATAAAATGGACATAATGTGTAGAGTCTCAGCTTTAATTTGAGGGTATCTACATTCAAATTGGATGAAAGGTTTCATGCTTTAATGCTTGCTGGTCAATTGACTCAAAGGTTATTTCATAGGCAGTTGTGGGCAATTCCTTCTTTATTTCATTATCAATTAAGAAGATAAAAGGCCTGGAGTTGATCTGAGGTGTGGTGCTTGGAAGTGAAAGATTTTGCTGTGAACCAACAATACGCGGTCACAGGAGCTCTCCGTGCAGGTGAAATAAGCCATGCTTAAGCTGTGAAAACAGAAAAACCCCATCCGAGAAATTCCTACAATATTAGGAGTGGCAAACTAGAGTTTGGTACAAGAAAGCTCTGGTGAATGCGGCAACACAAAAGACCTGGACGTCCACAGAGGACAACAGTGGTGGATGATCGCAGAATTATTTCCACGGTGAAGAGAAACCCCTTCACAACAGCCAACCAAGTGAACAACACTCTCCAGGGGGTAGGCATATCAATATGCAAATCTACCATAAAGGGAAGACTGCATGAAAGTAAATGCAAAAGCTAGGTACTTGGAATTTATTAATGCAAAGAAGTGGAATATCCTTGAATGGCCAAGTCAGTCACCTGAGCTTGAGCATTCATTTCACTTGCTAAAGCCAAAACTTCGGACAGAAGCGGAGCAGAGCATTAAAAAGGAGGAAACCCAAGTCCCCTTTCACCCCTTTGGGCTTTGGTCCTCTACCAGAGGCCAGGGAGCTCTTGGAGTGGTTCACTTCATTTCTTGTGGTTAGAAGACTTTTGGTCTCAATGTGAAACGTTTTGCTCAGATGTAGCTAGATTCACATGCAGTGTTCCACAAGGATCTGTTTTAAGTTCCTTGCTGTTCTCATGGTATATTCTACCACTACGCTAGATTATTAGTTCTGAATTAGTTTTAGTTTTAAATACATTTCTTATCATCTTTATGTAGACAATATTCAACTGTACCTCATAGTTCATAAGGTTTTTCAAACCTTATGAACTGGACAAACTATCCATTCTAATGGACCGTCTTAAGGAAAGAAATGGTTGAACAGCAAACAATTTTCTGTAGCTTAATACAAACAAGACAGGCTGTTTAATTATGACTCCAGAGAGCATTAATCCCCAAATTAGACAACATCTGGGAGCTTTCTCATCTGCTGTAAAAGCTACTGCTCAGTAAATTTCTGATCAGTCTTTGGCTTTTGATGCCTACATGTAATCTGTGACCTGCTCTTGCTTTCTTCACTTAAGTAATATCACTAAACCTGAAATGGAGATGCTTGTTCATGCTTTCATCTCTTCTCGATTAGACTATTGTAATGCCCCTTTTTTCTTGTCTGTCAAAAGCTTTGATAAAGCGCCTTTAAACCATCCAAGATGCTGCGGCAAGGCTTTTAACTCACACTCACAAATTCTCTCATATCACCCCATTGTTAAAGAGTCTGCACTGGCATCCACTTAGTTTTAGATATCAATTTAAAATCCTTGTCAGGCATGAAACGTAAACTCTTATGTTCATGGCCTTACAAGGAGAGGCCCCCACTTATATCATCAGCTACTTCACCCTTATTCTCCAAACCAGATCCTTACGATTGCTGAAACTGCTACCATGTACCTGTCTGAAAACTAAAGGGGAAGCTTCCAAACCTTAGCACCAAAACTATGTAAGATTTAATCTAACGTGTCAATTCAGACAAGCATAACAAAATATTGGATAATGTTTTTGTGTGTTATGTTGTTTTTGTGTGAGTAAACTGTATTTGTAATATCTTTGTAAAGCACTTTATAATATATTCCCGTCTTGTGTTATATAAGTAAATTTTACTTACTTAACAATATGCAGTAGCTCAGTGTTCCAATATTCGGAAGAAGAAACTGCTCTCATAACTGGAGATCAATGAGGTACAACACAAATGCTACACCAAGGGAGAGCCAGGACATCAGGTCGGGAGGAAATATCATCATCCCCACATGAGATTGGGTACCAAGCCCCAAGCACAACTGAAGTCGTGTTGTAGCAAGAGCAACTGACCTGAGAGATACCTGAGAGATAGGATCGTGGTTAAGCTGTAAACCTGGACCCTCTGTGGCTGATCACCAAGACTATGTGGAATATCCTCTGATGGTCTACTAGACTGGAAGATGTGAATGCAGCATTTTGGAATGCAACTCTACTGTGACCATCATCGAAATCAACCAGCTGATCTACACCACGGCAGCAGTCATCCCAGAGATGCTAGGCTATAAGATAATCAGCCACAAGGAACAGGACCTGCCATGGAGAAGGAGACCAGAGGCCAAGATCAAGGCAGCACAAAGGGAAGTTTGCCAACTATTGGAGCCGGAATGCTGGAAGCAACATATATGGAATTATGAAGCAAAGAAAAAAAGATAAATAACTCTAAATATGTGTTATATTTTAAATTCCCCAAAGGAATTCCCTTTGCTTTGGTAACTGGACTAGTTCTTCACTTCACAGGTGTGCCTTGTCAGCATTCATTTGTGGAATTTCTTGCCTTCTTAATGGGGTTGGGACCATCAGTTGTGTTGTGTAAAAGTCAGGATGGTGCACAGCTGACAGTCCTATTTGACAACTGTTAGGATTCATATTATGGTGGCTATTTTGAAGAATCTCAAATATAAAACACGTTTTGAGTTTCACACTTTTCTGTTTACTACATAATTCCTACATAATTCCATATGTGTTCAGTCATAGTTTTGAATAGTCATAGTCATGAACATAAAGAAAAACCATTAAATAAGAAGGTGTGTCCAAACTTTTGACTGGTAGTATATAATGATATCATATTAGCGAGCGAGAGAGATCTGAAGCCATACATGTGCAGTATTATTTGATTTCTCTATCTGTGTTTTGAAAATGAACTATATGGGAGTTTTATACAGTTGCTTTTGAATGCTGTTTCCCTCTTAGGGCAAGATTCCAGGAGTGTACTTTGTGAAAATACATGCTCCCTGGAACATTCTGTGTCGAGAAGCCGAATTCATGAAGTTAAAGATGCCCACCAAAAAAGTAAGTCTTTAAAATGTTAGTTAAAAAAATGCCAGGTTATGCTATGTTATATATTTCAAATGGGCAGTTTAGAGTCAGTATCAAATATACAAACTATTTAGGTTTAACTCTAAATTCAGACAATAATGAGGTTACTGTATTCAGTCCTAAAATTCTTAGAGGCTTACTCTGGCCTCTAGTAACACTGTGAGGAATCTCAGAGTTGGTTTTGACCAGGATCTGTACTGTACTAAACAAATGTGTAGGACTGCTTTCTAACATTTGTGGAACATCTCTAAAACGAGAAACATCCTGTCTCAGAGTGATGCTGAAAAAGTAGTTCATGCACTCTAGGCTGTTCTAAAACTTATTAATAAAATAAACGCCTTCATTTGATCCAAAATGCTGTGTGTGTGTTGAAAGGTCTATGAGGTCAAGCAGTCAAACAGTATTGTGGAGAAGATCAGTACTCTGATTAGTAAAATTCTGGAGCCCCTCCACCCACATGTTGAGGAACATCAACCCAAGAACGTCAAACACCTGTCACACACGTTCTCTAGGGAAAAGCAACACCTGTAAGTACATGTTTTTACTAAATGGAAAAGAACTGATCCCATATGATCTAGCGCACTTGTCAACAATGTGATTTTTTTTTAAATGCTCAAGAATATGCTGACAGATCCTTTTTCTCCTTTTCTTTTCAAAGCAACTTCAATATCATCCAAAGGTTTTTGGGGTTTTTTACTTTTTGTTTTTCAGCCGTTTCCTTCTGTTGCATGAGATAATTCAGGGTTAGTGTAATCCTATAATCTTTAGGTTTTTCAGAGAATATGCACTGAAAATTGCTTTTTTTTTTTTTTTTTGCCTGTCCCGTTTGGTTCTTTTGCCATCAGAATTATTGTCTAAAGGCGAAGAAAGATGCCCAACGGATTTACTTTACCAAATGGACCATCCCAGCCTTGCCGTCTTGGTCTATTTGATTCACCTTTGCTTTTATTGTTTATTCTATTTTCATTTGTTGAACACGGGACAGACTTGACTGGGGAAAAGAAAAGGGAGAAAGAAAGAGGGAAAGAAAAACAGCGGGGAAGAGGAACGGTGATAAAGGGCAAAAACCAACAAAACAAACAGACAAAAAATACATATATCAATCACCTGGATCACCTGTTGAGAAAGAAAAAAGAGAAAACAAGCAAAGAAAAAGAGAGAGCAATAGAATAAACAACATCACGATGATCTATGGGAATATAACAGTAAATACTAAATATTAAGTATTATTGTGCAACACGTAAGATCGACAGCGCACAGTGTGCTTCGAGGTGGCAGCCAAAAACCACCTGTGAGTGAGAGCGTGCTTGTATTTAAAAGGTTCCTTCATGTAATGATCTGCTAGAGGCTGTGGGGAGCCACAGCCCCGCCCACCAGGGCATGAAGCAGGTATGGAGGAGATCAAGGCTCCAGACATCCAGAGGCCCCAAGAGCAAAGGAGACCAAGGAAGACCAACAGAGGGGCAACCGCACTGAAAATTGCTACTCTTGCTAGTAAAACATGAGACATTTTAATCTGAGACCAGAACCTAACAGAGTGAAATAAATGATGCAGGCTTTACACTGAAAAAAGGGGAGATGGTGACCTTTTCACTAACATCACTCCCCACGTGTAATTTTCATTCATTCACAGAAAATCTCCCCTCCCAACGAGATAAATGAAAAAGTCAGGAACTTTTCTGATTTTTAATTGTTTTTGCTTATATTGTTTATCTATTAATTACTATGTGTGTAGTATGAATGGCAACTGGGGGGAATTGACACCCTTCTGCACATTTTTCAAAGCTGTCAGATGAGATGGATTGGACTCTTTCCCTGTCTGATTCTGGCCCCCAGGTCTCATGTTTGACACCCCTGGTATTATGTATGTGCCTTGATCGATTCTTGCCTGATTTTTTAAAATTTTTTATTTTATGTGTATGTTGACAGATTTGACCTATCAGACAAAGATTACTTCTTCGACAGCAAAACCAGGAGTTCAATAGTAAGTCCAAGTTTGTGCATCAACAACACCAAAATATGACAGCATGTTTTAGCCTTCGCAACTCCTCTAGCACTCATACTGTGTATAAGAAACTAACCAATGTTTGCTGAAGTTATTTTAATGGTATTTTCCATAATAAATGCACATTTCAAACACTGATATTTTAGGTTTGAAGTATATGAAATTCTAGGCTAATAGGCCATCAACACCATTGACACCCTGCAGTTACAGGTTATCCTGAGATACGTGCCCAAAATAGAAAACAATAATAATGATTATTATTATTAATATTATTATTATTATTAGTAGTAGTTGTAGTAGTAGTAGTATCTCTTAGGAAGAACTGTAAACTGTAAATAACTTAATTTTGTTGTAGTTGCAGGCTTGATCTGTGCTGTATAATTTTATTATTGTGTGGGAAATTAAAATGTATAGGCTGATATTCTCCTTGTGCATTACTTTTAGACGCATGTTTTTAATTCCTTTACAGGTTTTTGAAATACTAAAAAGAACAAAATGCAAGGCCAAGTACAGCATGGGTAAGTCTGAATGTGTTTTTTTTGCTTTTGCCACAAATATTATAAGTCAGACAATTACGTGCTTACATATCATAATTTAGTCTTCTGGTATCTGACTAAGTTGTTTTAGTCTCCACTGGTTAAAATATCTTTTTTGGAGTTTTTGATGGTGGGGATAAATGCTGGAAATATGACTTCCTAACCTTGCTCTCTGTCATTTGTGTAAAATGCCTGCAAACCTATGGTTTCAACGATGCAAAGATTTGTCTTTTAGGGAGCAACTTACAGAATAGTTAGTGAGCACAGCAGTGTTTTAAATTCTGTTAAATTCAAAGCCAAAAATAAATAAATAACTAATAGCAATGGTTAGAACATTGTTGTTAGTGTCTACTGAATGCAATGCCTGAAGGTTAAACTTCTGATGGCTAAATAATTTGTGTTTTTGTGAAAGATTTATACATTGTTACAACTTCTATGATGGAAATGTCCACTCATTCTGTAATACGTGTGTGTGACACATTAGAAGCTGGTCAGTGGGAAGTGATCACTGAATGATTGTGCATGTTTGGCACAGTGATGCTATAGGCTACTATTTTTGCGTGTGTGTGTGTGTGAGAGAGAGAGAGAGAGAGAGAGAGAGAGAGAGAATGAGTCATAGAGAGAGAGAGAGAGAGAGAGAGAGAGAGAGAGACTCAAAGAAATATCTGTCTTGAGGCCTATCTCACAGTATATGATCTCATTTCCAGTGTTGTTGTGTTTCCTGGAACACTATTACAGTTGTTGGTCCAAGTTCAGCATTGCAAGTACTGCAACCAATCTTATTGTTGTGATGTCATAGTTTTCCGACTTGGAAACACCATCACACCACACACTAAACCCTAACCCTTAACCATAATCATTATTCTAACTATAGTCCCTAACCCTAAGTCTAGGATTCAGGTATATGACTTGACAAAAGAACAACATCCCATTTCTTTGCCTTAAGAAATTCTTGAATCATGTTTGCAGTTTGCTTTGGGTCTTTATCTAAATGTAAGCAGATGAATCATCAATAAACACTTCTTATCCAATTCCATTAACAGCCATACATAGCCATGGCCAACAGTTGATGTGATATGCTTCAGATCATGAGCTGTTTATTTCCTTTTCCATACTGTTCTCATCCCATCATTTTGGTTCAAGTTAATCTGGGTTTCACCTGGGCAGAGAGTTTCATTTGGGCAAGCTCTTTTTGACTTTTTTTCCTGGTAAAATCTATGTTGGCCTTCCTGGTCTTGATAGTAACCAGTGGCAAACCTTCTGTATGAACATTCAGGAAGGCGTTTCTTAATTTTGGACTTTGTGAAATGATATGCGTACCTCCTCGAGAGCATCCTTGACATGGTTATATGTTGTGAAGCTGTTTTACAGAATCAAGGAAAGAATTCCGCACTCATCCACTTATGTTGTCTTCTGTTGTGTTCAGGCCTTTTCCTATTCCTGACCTACTTATTAGTCAATTGTCCAGTTACTTTTGAGTCTCTGTGGAGTCAAGGAAAACTTAGTACATCGCATGATTCAGTAGCTTGTAGAACCACCTTTAGCAGCAGTAATTTAAGTAATTTTTTTCTGTACAACTTGCAAGATGCCCAAGTCCTTTGGTTGGTGACTAAATCCTTCGGTTGCAAAGCAAGCCCTGAAATTCTTCTGTAACCAATGGCATCAGTTTGCTTCGCAACAATAAGGTTGCAAAGGTGTTGAGAGAGCTCGCTGGTTTTATCCATCCTGAGATGTTTCTTGTGTGACACCTTGGTAATGAGACACCTTTTGATTTCAAAATTTTTTATGCAAATCAGAGATGGCCGAACAGAAAATATTCTAAAAATTGAATGGTTAGAGATAGAATGACCCAATGCAGTCATATTCTTGAGTATTATAATTTAGAATCTGTATGAACATCTGCATTTATGCTTTCTTGGCAGGTATCACCAGTCTCCTTGGTAGTGGGGTGTATACTGCAGCTTATCCTCTTCATGATGTAAGTAGTATCTTTGTTAGAGCAAATAATTATTGAATTAGAAATATTTGTGGTTTTAGTTTACCGAGTGTAAAATGGTGGTGCAGTGCCTTACAGTAAAGGTTCCTTTGCTGGTGACACATCAGTGGTGTGTATACAACTTTGTTTTGTTTTGTTTTGTGGTTCCTTTTGGTAATTTTGCCCCTGTACAGAACCACAGTTGGTTTTAAAGTCAGTGAAGTTTAGACTTTCATCTTTTCTTCAGGGGGTTTAACCAAAGCATTGCATTAACCACATTAATGAATTGCACTAATTTGGTTTCTTCTGTAGTCTAAAGGCCTGCCTGTCTTCAGTTTTATCTTCAGTAACTGAAAAGACTGAGATCAGGGGATTGACTTGGCCATTGGATAACATCGTATTTGCTTGTCTTGAGAAACTCTTGGGTTTCTTTCACACTTTGTTTTGGATCATTGTCCATTTGCACTGTGTAGCTCTGTCTGATGAGCAGATAGTATATGTTGTACACTTCAGTTCATCCTGCTGCTTCTATAAGCAGTCACATCAAACACTACTTACCCAGTTCCATTACATGATTAAACCTGCATCATGTTGGATAGATGATGTGGTAAGTCTTGGATAATGAGCTCTTGCTTTCCTTCTTCATACTTTTCTCTTTCTATCATTCTAGTAGAAATTAATATGGGCTTCAAACATTTCAAACATTTGAGAGGTTTTTTTTTCCACAATTTGGCCTGTTCTTGAGCATTTTGAAATGGCCAGTTACTCCCATACAGGAGGTCTTGACTTGCTCTTTATTCAAAAGATCCAAGTTTTTGATTCCAAGAGGCGCTCTGCTGGCAGGCAATGCAGAACCTGTTTCTTGAGGCAGTGTTGAGGAGACTCACCTAGCTCTCACTGGATGTCTATCCAACCTTCTCAGATGGTCACTGCTTAAGTAGCATTGCAGGTCAAGTGTGATTTCTCAGCCACATCCATTAACAGCACCACTTCTTTATGATCAGTTCACTGGGTAAAATTGGTTATGTTATACTTTAGTGGCCAGGAGAAAATAGGCTAAGAGCAGCCTGTAAGATCTAATATTTATATGAATGCTTTTACCTTTACTGGATAAAAGTATATTTGGAGCAATTTAGAAGGGGCAAAACAAAGACTGACTCAATTAGTAATAATCACATCCTCATCTAACTGATCTACTCTATGCTAATGCTGATTTCTTATACTGGTCATGAGATGAATGCACTCATCTCTGTCTCAAGCCTGATAAAGCCAAATGGGGAAGCAGTGAGTCAGAACAAAGTCCTCCAACTTCTTTGAGACCTTAATCCAACACAGCCAAGCAGAGTAAAAGCCGAAAAGTATAATTCCAATTCATAAATTCACATTGGTTGGGCAGTGGTTAATCCTCTGGTCTTCCAGGTGAAACGTGTGAACTCCAAAGTCCTTTCTTCTGTTGTTGCTCTCTACTCAGCCTCAGGACAATAGAGGACACACACCACACCTTCCTAAGAGTCCTCTTTTATACTCATGTGGTCATATGTATCACACACCTCTCTCCCCTTACCCATCACTCACACCTATTCCACCTATTACACACACACACACACACACACACACACACACACACACACACACACACACACACACACACACACA